GCCAAATATTTGGTGAACCTCATATACTTGCGTATATGTGGATAAGGTATCACCCAAATCCTATATTATCCTTACTCCGAATTGACAAAATGATCGATCTCCAGGTAAAATGGTCGGTAAGCCGAAGTCTTTTTTACCAACATTTTATCAAGGTCATAACCAGACGAATTTCATTGTCAAAGATTTGTTCGTGTAACCTCGCTTCGCATCGTATTTAAAAGATTAAATGATTTCTAATATAGCAGTATGTCAACAGATTTATCATTTGATCATAATGTCTCCGTGCTTTTGGCGCATCGCTTTTAATTTTTGACCATTATTTAACCACTTTTATTAATCTGTCAAGATTTTTTTTTTTTTTTTAAAAAAAAAATAAATTTTCATAAAATAAATCAAGCTTCCAATAATAAAAAATTTTGCCTTTGAAGTAACACACCATCAATGTACTGCATATAATGAACTAAAATCTATGATCTATTGTTTGTTCACTTCAAATAAACTATTCTTCGATTAAAGTTTGTGTTAAATTACTGCATATGCAATTCTTATTCTAAATTGTGTTCCTTTATTCTTTCAAACTTTAGATTAAAGTTTGCATATGGAAGGGTATAATAATATTTAATAATGGTTTATTTAATCAAATCACACCTTTTTGGCGTAATACATAAAAGTTACATGTTTTTAAAGAAATAAATTCAAATTTATAATAAATTCATTCGAATATACTTTTTGAATATTAAGGATAGGATACGGTTCGGATCATCATATTCATATTTTTGTTTAGGTATTTAGATAAATTTTTTCGTGCAAATGCTATCCTATCTATCGTCTTCAAACATTTTAATTCTTTTTTTTTTTTGGTTATCATGTTTTAAATATGTTGAATTAAAATCACTATTAAAATTAAATCAATTGGATAATACTATGTATTTCCAAAATTTCCAGAAATTCTTAAAGTTTCCCTTTGCTTTCTTTTTTTATACGATTTATAAAGTAAAATCACAACTCCAATACCTAATAAACTACTAATTACGGATATGACAATTTTCATTGTTGATAGCTCCTTTGCTAATGTATTATAAGGTGAATCAGGTGTATTAGAAGGTGTTTGAGAATTAGGTACAACAATTTTTGAATTTGTTTCAAGAGGCTCAAATGTATTGACCCAAGTATAATTTCTGATATCTAACAAATAAATTTTTGAACTTTCACCTAACGGTAAAGCATTTTGTTGAGTAATATTTCCTATATAATTAACAATGATTATATTATTAATAATATACTTCTCCTTTAACGTAATATTATAAAAAATTATTTACCAAAAGCAACAATAATATAATTTTCTACTAAAGTTGCTTTATGATTTACGAGTGATGGAATTTCTCCAATGTTTGATGATACTTGCGGTATAATCCATTCAAATGGGGTTGTTTGAGTATTTAAAACTTGAAATGTATCACCTACAGCTCCACCACAAATAATAATTTGATCATTTTGAGCTTGTAAAAGAAATATTTGCATTAGACTTAACTAAAATAAAAAAAAAAAAAGGAATAAATTCTTTTCTTCAAAATATTATTACCTAATATGGCAGTATGTCCAGAGCGGGAACCTACCATATTGATGTTTTTTGCAACCTAAAAATAATTAGTTTTTATAATTCATAATTGGATATTAGAAATATTTTAATATATAAATACCATCAATCTAGCTTTGTATCATAAATGTTAATTTCATTGATGTTAATGGTATTGTTATCGTCATATCCTCCAATATATACAATAAAATCATTAGATAATAATGTTGCTGTATAATAAAATCGAGTTGCAGGAGCTTTGAATGCAGTTCCATATGACCAAGTTAAGATATTGGTATCAAAGATAATCATATCATTATAGTAAGTAACTGGACTTGCAAAATCATTTTTACCCCAAAAATATAAAATTTTCCAAAATTATCTTTGACTGCTTCAACATTCCTACGTCTTTTTGGTATTTGGCCATTGGTTTTAGGTATATCCCATTTAAGAGTTTGAGGATTAAATTTATGTACAAATGATTCAAATATGTCTTTAGATGAAACAGAATCAACCATAAATCCACCAAACAGATAAATGGTTGGATTAATGTCGTCAATTAATGAAACTGTAGCGAATGCACTTCCAAATGGAATTGGCGATGATGGTGTTAGATCAATCCATTGTTGATTTTCCGAATTAAATGATTGAGATACATCAAGATAAAATACTTCATTTGAAAACTTGGACGTATATCCACCGAAAAAATAAAATTTCTTTCCTACAAGAATTGATGAGGAAGAAATACGTACAATAGGAGTAAATGAATTGACTTTATTAACGAAAATCGAAAATGCCTAATATCAAGACATAATAAAGATATAAAATCAGTTTATATATTTTAAAGAAATCATAATTTTTTTTTTTTGAATAATTTAACCAAAATAGAACAGATTTATATAAACAAAAATGCTTGTGTAAAGTTTAGTACAACTGTTATGTTTAAGAAATCATGCATTTTGCTTTGCAGAATGTATTACAAGACACATCTTTGATATTTCTAACTTTAAATATATTTTATTTTTTAAATAAAAAACCCCCAATCAATCATCACCCTATTTTTATGATCGATTTATTATAAAAAAAATATTCGACTTACAAAAATTTCCCATTAACATTCATAAACCTGAGGAAAATTTAAATCTTGTGGTAAAAAATACAATAATAATTTGATCAGTGAATCTTTTATAATATTCGAAAAACATATAAGTTAGACTTAAAAAAAAAGCATAAATTCTTCCTTATTTTATTACCTAATACAGTAATGCATAAATAAACTTTTAACAATTTTCTTTACTTAATTTTATAATAACTTCTTTTACAAAATTCCAAGCGAAATGTCATCGTTAATAAATGTAAAACTGGACATATGAAATAATAATTAACTTAACCTATAAACTAATTACACGAATTTTTTTTTAAGGACATCTTAAATTCAATACCAAAAGATTGAATTGAACTAAATTGGTTCGTATTAGAATTCAAATGCATTAATCTAATAAATTTTGAATTTATTTTTTCGAATTAACGATGGTATATAATTATCGTTATATCACAATTCACTTTATTTTAAATAATCAAAATAAAAAATCATTTATCACTTTCAATATATTTGCTTAAGGATTTAAAACCACTTAATTTGCTGATATATCGGCTCCGCCACAATTAAGATTTTGAGCTTGTAAAATAAAATAAATTGGTTTTTCTTTTTTCTTTTTTTAAATAAAATAAATAAAATAAATTGTTTTCAAATATTTATACCTATATTGTAATATTTGCAACGACATTCGAATTTATTTGCATTTAACAAATGAGAAAATAATCGGTTCACTATTTAATGTGAACATATTTTATATAACAGTATATTAATGTTCAAAACAATTTTCTAAAGGAGCATTGAATATTCATATAAAGTGGATGGACTTGTAAAATCATTTGCACCTTCAAAAAATATAAATTTCCCTAGAATTATATTAAATCCTTACATCTTTTGTTGGGTTATAAAACACGATCCGATCCAAAATGTCCGGATTTGGATCGGCCTAAAATTTATACTGTTTTTCGTTCCAATTAAACCCATTGTATTAAAGACAAAACGAGTACATAAATTATAAGAGATAAAATATAAAATTGGAGATCAATTTATTATCATCATAAAAAATACCATTTTAAATGTATCGGATTTTGAATTAATAAATTGAGTTTTTAATAAGTGTCCAATATCACAATATGCTCATCGGAACAGTAAATTAAAAAAGGGCTTACTGCATTTCTATTTATAAAATCAATTAAAATTATTAAATTTTAGAGTTATTTACTAATAATGAGAAAATAATATAATGAACATGCTTTATATTTATATTTGAATGATGATGAATTAATTGAACGGAGAAATGAGGGGAATAAAGACAAAGATTTACAATATCTTCTGAATGAAATTTTTTTTTTTTTTTAAAAAAAAAAAAATTCTATATTTATATTATTATATAAAACAAAAACATACCAAGATATCTTTTTTACCATATTCCTATATTTAATGCTATACATTATTTTTTTTTTTTTTTTTTTTTGAATAAATAATGTAATATTGTTATTTAAAGAATGAGATATTTAAAGCTTAATCTATATATATATTTATAAATATATAAATTTATAACAATTATTAAATACAAATTTTTTTATTTTAAAATATAAACCTAACTTTTCTATACGATATATTAATGGTTAATTACTTACCCTCTTTCAAAAAATTATTCAAAATCATCACCACTACTAATCGTAGATTCACTATCAGGTGATGCGATAGTAGAAGCGTTAGAAGTAACAGTTGAGGCTAAGGCTAGAGAATCACTTTGATTGTACCAAGACCATGGTTTATACCATTGCTGATTTATTTCAGGCCTAGAATTGCTCGTTGAAGTGGTCACGACTGACTCGTTGTCATTTTCATCTTCTTCCGATGAAGAGACGGCAGGTGATGCAGAAGACGAGGAAGAACGACGGGAAAAACTTTGTCTGTAGCCTTCACCCTCGCTATCAGAATCATCAGATGTGTCCATATTGTTGCTCGCATCTTTATAATAATCAAAAGAAAAAAAAATGAATGAATATTGAATGACAATAACCGAATAATCTATAATACAAACAGATTTTCTCACCCCAATTAGTGAACATCGATTCGTCTTCGTCTTGGTCATCGTCCGAATCCTCCTCCTCCGATGATGATGAACTAACTGATTCGTCGTCCATCAAATCGTCTGCTGTAGAATCATCTTGATACATATTTCTTAATCGGGACGTTGTCGAAGCGTGTCTGTATAAGGCATTTGAAAATTCGAATTCAGAATCTGTTGTGGTTCTATAAGGATTCGAATTATGATAATTTGATGACGTTGTTGACGATTGCGATGCATTAATAATAGCTTGAGGAAGCGTATTTAAAAAATGATGACCATTGTTTGCATTATTATATATTTGTTCGTTGCTTTGATTACTTGTAGATAAATTGCTCGATGAAACATTATTTAAATGATTATTATATATGGAACTTTCATCATTCGAATTAACGTCTCTAAAAGTGTCTTGATCATGAATTCTAGGCATATTAATGTAATCAGATCTTTGTGGATAATAATTATCATTTCGATACCTAGACATTTCGTTAACTTCTGATCTTGGAGTTATTTCTCTAGAAAAACTTGGTGGACGACTACAATTAAATTGGGGGTATTCCAAATCATTAGATTTCGTTCATATAAATATTTAATATCATGTTTAATAAATGATGAATGAAGTTCATTTCTATTATCTAACCTTCGAAATGCTGAACCACTATAATTGTCAAAATCAACGAAGAAAAGAAAGAGGTTAATATATCAATTTACTCAAAAAAATTAAAGTTTAGTTATGATGAGAAACATACCTTATCGGGTCAGGATGGGGACGATTACGCGATATCGATCGTGACCTTATTGAATCTTGTAAAGTAGTGGAAAGATTATCAGTATCTTCAAGAAGTTCAACACGAGATGATCGTACACCGACAATACGATCATTACCAGCATGTGTTGCTCCTCTTGGATAAGTTCGTCTACCTGACGAAGTTAATGTTTCGTTTGAGCTGCTATAATATGGATTACGTGGTGGACCGAAGGTATTACCGGTTCCACGATCATATTCGTGATCTTCTTCGGATTCATCTGAATCATCGGAACTGTCAGAATCATTGCTTTCAACATAACGTGTTTCATAAATTTCATCATCAATTTCAGATGGTGAATCGCTGAAATTCAAAGGTAATTTGATTATAGATATCAACTCTAATAAAAGCTAATAATAAACCTACTCTTCATTATCATAATCTTCTTCGGTGCCGTTATCATTGCGAAAGGGATGACCAAGGTTTAATCTACCACCAAATATTGAATTTACCACTTGTAGCACACCTACACGATAACGATATGATAAAGATATGATATAATAACTTTTTTAAATACTTAATATTATTTTTTTTGTTAGATGTAAAAATTTTTATCAAATATTATCAAATATATACCGCGCTGAAAATTTGCAAAATCCAATTCTCCTGGATGTGGCATATCATTTGTATCAATTTGATTCTGTGGCTGCGGTGGTCCATGCACGGGATGTTCCCAAATTCTTGGTTGTTTTGCAAATTTGTCTACTTCGATTCGACAATAAGGACATTTATAGTCACCTATGGTAATTGTAAAAATTAATAACAAATAGTAATATATATCTCTATATATATATTTAAAAAATTTACCTGAATGGTTAAAATGTGATCTTAAATAAAAATTCATAGATAAATAATAATAAATAAATAAGATATATTCAACATAAAAGATCAAAAATAAAGGAATTACCCTAGACAGTTCAAATGATAAATATGCCCACATGAAAGTCTAACTTGAGCATGAATAACCTCTACATGTTCAATGCATATCGCACAATCAATTGCTTCACCCTCAGCATAATGATACATCTTCTCTGAAGGTCGATCGAACGTAGTACTAAATTTCATTTCCCAAAAAACTGATCATTATTAGTATTTCCTTATTCAATTTTATTTTTATATTCAAATATATAATAATATCGAAGATTAAAAAATATTGATATATATATAAAGAATCTCATTATATATGTATTTATATGCAATTTAACAAGCAACAATCCCAAACACACCACACATCGGGGAATGACACCACAAGGGATACTATTTTGCTTTTCCAAAATCTTTTAGCTATAAAAATAATCTTTCAAAATCTTTATTTTTATGGAAAAAAAACTCACCTTTGAACTGACGAATCTGTCGTTGTAGAATTTCTCATATTCTTTATTAAATTAAGAGCTTGATCTACTAGGGGAAGATATTCTCTTCTACCTTCAGCTTCATATAAACAACGTTTATTATTTAAATAACCCTCAATCTCTTTAGCAAAAGAATTTCTGAAAGTATTTTCTGCCTCCATGTTTGCAGCTTCTTTCTTTTTATTTTGTGCTGTGTCCGTATTTTCGATTAGAGGCAATATGCTGTTACAATAAATAAATGGAAATTTTAGATCCAAAAATAACCAAGGTAATAAGTAATTTTCACAAAGTAACGTTAAAAATATATCTGCACATTTAAATTTTAATTTCTAATGTTAACTTACCCGTAACATATAGCACTATGTTTCAAATTGGCGGAGATAACAATCAATCAAAGTAAAATAAACTTTTTAAGGAATGACAAGGGGGATAATAATGAGAAAATTGAGAAATATTTGTATACTATTGCTAACGAATGTATGTATGTGTATGTAGTATGAGAGAATATTATAAAGATAAATCTAGCAAGCCTCAAACAAAATTTCTCTTATTTTGAAAGTTTAGCTGCTTGCAGCCAAAATTGTTGAAAAATCGTACTGGCAATCTAAAAATTCGGCACTACTAAAAAAAAAAAATAAAAAAAAAAACTTTTAAATAAGGAACGAGATCAAAGAAAAAAAGTTGAATTATGGAATGTATTTTTTTATTAATTTTTTTTTTATTTATGTAGGCCGAAGAAGAAAAGAAAAATGGCTCAGTCGTTTTTTTTTTTTTTTTTTCGGTGTCAGGAGACAGTATAAATCTGCAAAATAATTATATGCAAATAGATTAACTACATTTATTAAGATGACAATAATGGATTTGTTGCGTTACAATTGTTTCAAGTGTTACGAGTCGAATTGGGAATCCTGGACGTGACCGTGGATAGCCAATGAAAAGTGAATAGAATGCGCCTTGAATGACAATCCAACTTAAAAATGTTTTGTTTTTGTTGCATCTTCTATATACAAATTGAGTAAAGAACAAAAGAAATCAAAGAAGCATTCTCCGTTTTTGATGCAAGTACATGCTCGAATATTTACATGATGCGAATTTGGTCATAACACACTATATTAATTCTTTTTTCCTTTTTTTCGTAAAACCATATTACATTGACAATGGATCAAATAAGAAGAAATAGTAGAAGTTTCGAAGATCTTTGGGGGCAAAATAAAGATGAGCGAATAAAGAAGATCCGCAGCCGCATCAAAGTTTTGAGATTTCCATTTAAAGCAAGCATGCGGAGAAAGGATTTTCATGTTGCTGAATTTCCAAGGATAGTAAAGAGTTTAATTAACGTGTTTGACATCATTAGAGTTTGAAAAAAATTAGGTTACATTGTGCTTCATGCAGAATTTGCTTCAAAAGGGGAATTGTTTGCTGCGGCAAAAGATTCACCAAAAATTTTAGATAATATAACAAAAATTTATTTAAGTAGCATTTAATTTAAAACTTTTCATCGGATAAATCTCGGTTAGTATAGTGGTTAGTATCCCCGCCTGTCAGGGTAACCAGCACGCGGGAGACCGGGGTTCAATTCCCCGACCGAGAGAAAAGATTTAATTTTTTTTTCTCAAAAAAAATAACGGCGCAGCAAGCACAGCATATATCGGGTAAATTGGTATGTTTGACCATCAATAGTTGAAAATTATGTCATTAAAATGCTGCCGGTTAATATTAACGTCATATCACGTGCCTAGAATATCGCTTATAAAAAAAGATTTCCATATAAAAAAAGTATACAAATAAAGTATTATAAAATTTTATATATTTAATTAATTTAAAATATAAAAAAATATAATTATACAGAAATTAAAATTAAAATATATTTAAAAAGAAATAATAAATAAATATTCTAATAATTTAAAAATAATAAACTTATCATTTATAACGAAATAAAATTAAATTTAAAAATAATAATCAATTATTTTTTTATATTAAATTTAATAATTAATAAATAAAATATAATATACTAACAATTTATCTTTTATCTTAAAAATTAATAGAATATAAGTTTAAATTTAGATAATTTTATTTTTTAATTAATTTATTATATTTAAAAATACAATTGACCTATATGAGATATATTTTAAAAAAAATAAATAAAATAAAGAAATAAGTTAATATATAGTAAAATAATTTTAATAACTAGATTATTTCTATATTAATTTATTATTTATTTTATTCTTAAAAAATTATTAATTACATCAGAAATATTTACATTATGTTAAATTATTATTTACAATAATTTTTAATTAAATAATAATTTATTATTTTTTTTTTAATTTAAATTTAATATTATTATATTTTAATATTAAATTTTTAATCCTATATTAATTTAATAATAAAAGCTTATATTTATATTGAATTTCATTAATAAATTTTTCTATATAATAGGAATTTTTTATTTTGCTTAGAAAATATTAATTATAAAGTAAAATTACCTTTAAATTTAAAAATAAATTTATTAAAAAGATATTTTTAAGTTTTATTATAAGTTATAAAAAATTAATTTAAAAATTAATATATTAAAAAATTTATAGTAATTAAACTTTTTATTTAAACTTAGTTTATATTAATAGATATTTAAACTTATTTACTAAAATTTTATTAATACTTTATATACATTTATTATTCCTTAAATGGTTAATACAAATTATTTATTAAATTTATAAATATTTTAACCATAAAAAAGATAAAATTTGTCTTATAAAATTTATTTAATTAAGACATATAATACTGTAGTTATATTTATATTTCTAGTATTAATAAAATAAAAATTATGTTAATTTTAAAATATTTTTAACTTTAAAATAATTTATTATATAATGATTAAAATATTAAAATATAATTTAGTTTATTGAATTCTTCTTATAAAAAAGTGATATTTTATAAATGATATTTAATAACATTTTTATTTTTAGATTTTGCTTATAAAATTTATTATAAAATTATATATTTTAATAAAATTGACTTAAAAAATAATTTAAATCGATTTTAATTAAAAAATTTAAAGGCAAACTATTTACATTTAATAAATATTTTAAATCAAAATAGTTTAATTTTTATGATTTTAATGATTTTTTAATAATACAAAAAGTATAAAATATTAAATTTTAACATCTTTATTTAATTTATAATTTATTTATTACAGTAATAAAATAATTATTTTATATTAAATATTATTTATCATTATTATTTTAATATATTAATTAATAATTTTAAAATCAAAAGTTTTTGATAAAATATTTTACGTGTATATATATATATATATATATTAATTTTTAATTTTTATTTAAAATCTGTAAAACCAGGGTCTAAATTATTGCATCTTTTTCTTGGAAGATACAAACTTTAAAAACGATTTCCTCTCCGTTACTACAAAATTATTAATGTCAATGCAGATAATATTAGAATATTAATACACCAAATGAAGATAAATCTTTATCTGAAAATGATGAAAAAACATTTTCAGCCCTAATTTTATCATTCTCGACCTCAAGCTTGGCAATGCATTATTTCAATGAATCGATCACTCTGGAACCATCTATACCAGATTGCATACTTGCGTGATGTAGTATTATTTATGCTTTTTATCGGAAACTTCTATATAGGAAATAAACAAATAGAAAATACAAATTCACATGGAAGTTCCAATTTACTTTCTCAAAGAAAAAAAAAAAAAAAAAAAACTCCAAAATCTCGTATATTAAATTAAAAAATCGTTGGATTGCGTAAAATTTAATTTCTAATATTTTTTAAAAACCGAATTTGCATCGGATAATTTTCTGGTGTGACCTAAATAAAAATGCACTTTTCATCATTAATATCTATAATTTAGCTTTTATAGTAGCTTGATGATATGTATCGGCGACAAATAGGATGTGAATATATAACAAATTAGGAATTTTTCGTAAATTACGTTAACAATGAAACACCCAAAAGAGTTAAATTCGGCATAATTGGTTTTAGCCGAATATATCAATCAATATATAATATGGTTACATAAGTAAAAAAAGCAGTATGAGTCTAAAATAACTAATCATTTTTCGTCCTTTAAAAATGGATATGAATTAATTCTGTATAAAAGACACGATTTTCGGTCGGTCAAAATGACGCTAATCTTACAATGAATCGTCATTTCAAAATCTAATATTGCATGTATAATTATCATTATTATTTTTGTTCTCTATCAAAGCATGCGAAGTCTCATGTCAAAAAGGAATAGCAAAAGCATCCGATTCGATATTTGTTCAAAAACCAATGTTTTAAAGTCAATGTCAAAAGCCATTCAAAGTTATTCAACCACCAAAAGGAGAACCTTGGAAATTAAGTGATTGTGAAAAGCAGGATTATATCCACCTTCTATATGTCATTATATGGATGAGATTGTTAAACCAAGAAAAGGGTGGATGGATTATGGCCTATAAGTTAGCGCTAAAAAATGATATATCTGATGATTTACAAGCTGTTTTAAGGAATATTCAAACTTCTTTGGTTGGATTTGTAGAATTTTTGAAAAAAATGTGTGATAAATATGATAATGACATAATAGATTTATTGTTGATTTTTCTTTATAATAATAATTAAATCTTTTATAATTTATGTTTTTTTTCTTACAATAATGATATTTGTTTTTTAGAATTTAAATTATAAATTTATCATGTGACTCTCTATATTATTATATGACTTTAGGTAAACTTTTTGGTAATACTTTATTGGTAATTCTTTAATATCTTTAATAAATTAAAGAATTATAATTGGACTTTTTTAATATTTCAACATTTACAATAATTTAATTATTCTATACAACAAAAATATTAATCTTTGTCCTTATATAGCTATATAATTTTGCAAAAGGTATCAGGCAATCACATTTTTGATTGGTATTTTTTCGTTCATCATCTCTTTAACTTGCATCCCTACAAAATTTCCATCTTTCACCAAATTCTCCATAGTAGGTCCAATAAGTTTTCTAATAAAATCAACCGTGAATTCCCTCCCTCTATCCATAATTATAGCCGCCAACAATTTAATAAACATATCAGCCATTTCTTTTATACTCAAAAAGGATTTTCTAGCATAAATTAAATCTTGTAATTTCAACATCTTGGCAAATCTACAAAGTCTATAATCACTACATAAATCTTCATGAATTTTTTCCAATATATCTGGTGTCAATTCACCTTTAAATTTTTCGTACACCATTTGTGAAATAGTTATGCTTAAAACGTAATCTCCAAATAGTTCAAATCTCTCATCACCATTAATCACGACTGATCCATGATTTCGTTGTTCTGAAAAAATTATATCGTGAGTAAGAGCGCATGTTAAATTGCTTGGGTTTTTAAAGAAAGGTATTTGAACTGTAAAATAGAAGAATAATGTTAGATCTTTAAAAAATAAGTAATTATTCTTTATTTTTATTTTTATTTCTATTTTTGTTACCGTATGATAGGTTACATTTTTGAAAAGTTGATGAGGAGGATTTTTCAAAGGTCTTAATATGTTTTTTAGGATGGTGACTATTAACGTTGTTGAGCTCTTCTAATCGACGTTTAGCAGTATTCAACATATATTTTTTGAAATCTTTCCGATCGAACCAATTGATTGTTAAGTTATCTTGATTTTGAATAAAGTTCACAGCTTTAAATCCCATAGGATTTAATTCATTTAAAACTTGACTTTCATGATTTGAAAAAGTTGGTGAACCAGCATTATCAACTTTATCCAAATCAATGGGAAATTCTGATGTTCCAAGAGATTTCGGTAAAACCTTTTCGTTTTTATGAGATTTCACGGCAATATCGGAATCTGAGAATGTAGCGGGAACAGGAACATTAGTGAAAATTTCCTGCGATTTTGAAGCCTCCTCATTAATCTTCGAATATCGCTTGGAATAAAATTTGTCAATTAAAGAAATCATAGGCTTTCGCGTAGATTCTTTAGGTTCCAAATCCGCCCTTTGTTGTTGTAATGTTGTATTAAAAATATCAGAATCGGAACTGCTAGTTGGACTTGAAGGACACGATTCACAGTTACTCTGTAATTCAAGGTTGAGGTCGCTATGTGAATTAAATGTTTTAGAAAATTCTGTTCCATCTATTTCCATGCAATCATCTTCCGAATCATCAACAACAATGTAAGAATTTTCTTCAGAAGCTTGAGCATTATTTCTCACATTATTTGGTGGTTCAGTGCTATTTTCTATTTCAAGATATTCATCAGATGAATAATCAAGTGAAACTTGATTCATCATTGCAGCTTTGTAAGCTCTTCGTCTTTCTCGATAACCTTCACTAATAATATCCGAAGAAAGTTTTAACTTGAATATTGGACCTTTTTTTTGTGGAGGTTTTTTCGTTCTTATAAGCGTTTCTTGTGCATTATCCATACAATCATTACCCATTTTGATTTTAGAATTTGGTCTATCGGAACTGTTTTTTTGACTTGATAAAGGAGCGTGAGATCGAATTGATTTATTTGAATTTTCCATAGAATCTGCTGGAGTACCAATAGCTTCTTTGGGTTCCACATTTAAAACTTCACAACCATTACATTCCTCGTAACAACATAAACTATGAACGAGACCGGTTATTTCGTCAGTTACGACGTAATGACTATGAAACACCATTTTGCTTATTTTAAAAAAGTGTAAAAGAAGAGTTTCATATTTCGTAATAATCGTCAAATGTTGTGGTAATTATATCACATGATGTAAGTTATTAATAAATAATTGAAATCAAATTATAACTATATAAATGACGTTATCTTGATTTGAATTAAATATACTAAAAGAAGTAAAACCATCTTTTGTGGCTTGCGCAGTTTCTTTTAATCAAATAATATATTAATAAAAATTTGTACTGAAATTATAAAATTCACTTTTTCAACTTTTTATGATAATATTAACTAATATATATACTATAAACAATAAGAATTAAAATTACAAAAATCTGTATCATTACTGTAAATTATTTAAGATTAATTTTACTAGAATTAAATAAAGAATTCTAAAAATTGAATTTTATACTGTAATTTTAATAAAATGATATAATAAAACTTAATAACAAAGATATAACTAATAAATTTTCTATTGTTTTTTAATTTAAAATGCTTATTGAATTTGATAATATTATTCTTAATAGAATATTAAAAGTATTAATTACCATATATTTCCGAAATTAAGCACCCTCTAAAATAAGCATCCTCATTTTATATATATACAAAATAGGTACTGTACATCTTGATAGTATCTCGAGCAATTTTAATCCAAAATTTATGCAATTTATATCACTCAATTCCTCTCATTGCAATGAATCTAATGAGCTAAAGTTCTTTATTCTATGACTATTTGATCACGTAATATCTTCAATTGAAGTTTATTAAAATTTTATTACTAAAATAATAATTATCTGAAAATAAGTATTCCCACAATAAATAGGATGCTTATTTTCAGAAATATAATACATATATATATAAATAGCATAGAGAAAGTTTGTTTTTATTGATTAACGATAATATGTATAACAGTATTATAATTGGTTAAACAAATAACATGTGATAATACTACGCATATTACAGATCATTTCACGAGTCATTTTCTGTCTATCTACTGTGTTTCTACCTTAAGTTAGCTATTTCAATATAGTTCAAAAAATTATAGCCAATGTTCAATATGAAGTTGTAATAATCAAGTATAGTTATACCTCTTTATACTCATACAGTTGGGAACATATAAAATATGTGCTTATATAAAAGTATGACTATATATTGAATACCTTAATATAATCATATTATAAGTAATTTTATAATATTTTGATTAAGTAAAGGTTATATTATAAAATTATTTATTATTAAATATATTTATTATAAAATACGTTAAAAGATATATTAATTAAAAAAACTAGTTATTTTTTTGTATTTTACTATTAAAAACTTTTCGTTGCATAATTCTCATATTTTTCATATCAAATTCTTTATTTTTCTGTCTTTCTAAATATTGCATCCATATTTTAAGACCATTAAAAGCTTCATTTGTTGATACTATATGACGTTTCTGATTAATTTCATTATTTAATTTAGTATCATTATGTTATTCTTTCAAAACAAGTTATACAATCTCAATATCTGTTAATTGCTATTCTGTTAGAACTGTTAAATCAACAACTTCTAAATATTGATCTATATTAACTTTTAAAGATTCATTTATATTGGTTTGCAAAAGTACTTCAATAGCTCTTTGATCTTCTTGATTTACTATTTCTTCTGCAATTAAAGCTTGTTGTATATTATCATTATTAACTATTAGTAAAATAACCATTTATGCAAACAATTAATAATAGTTTCTACTTTTACTAAAACTCAAGCTTATATAACATATTCTATAGCTTCTTTAATATTAATTTTATTTATATATAATATAAAATTTATTAGGATTATATATAATATATATATAAAATAAAATAAAAATTAATTTAAATACTTAACTTGTTCAAATCTACATTTGTATCAAATTGATAGAGAATATACTGAATATAATGTTGTTTATAAATTGCTTTAAAACTATTAATAATTCCAACATTCATAGGTTGCAAATAGGCAGTTGTATTAGGCAGAAGAAATTTTACTTTCATATGTGATAAATTTAATTCATCAGGATTAATATATGATGATGCATTATTCACAAGTAATAAATTTTTTCGATTTTGTACTCTAAATATATTATTAGTATATTTAAGCCATTCTTCAAAAATATCACTTTACATCCATGCTTTTAGATTAGTATAATACATTGTTAGCTTAAACAGTTCGTCGTTAAGTTAACTAAAATTATTTGCTAACAGGGAGTTTAAGTGCATCTAAACTATGGAAGAAATAAATATGGATTAATTATGTTGAAAGGTCAGGTCATTTTTATCGATATAGATTTAAAGAAGTATGAATTGTATATTGAGTAAAGATATAATTGTTAAGAGATAAATGTTATTGATTTATTTAAGAATTGTAGTGACTCTGCCATTTATTGAGACAGAAATACAAGATATTTATATAAAATACATCAATATAAAATAGATATTTAATATAGTAAAGAAAAATAAGAAATAT